TCTTTCATTTGGAATTTGTTTTGAGTTCAGTTTGAGTCTTTCGGGATGAGGGTAACTTTATTGCGCTTCCAATTTTCTCTCAAAAACAATTTAATTAATTAATTAATATTCATGGTAGCTTAACTGCGTGCAACCAGTTACATAACCAAAGTTCCACTTTGGTATCAAGAATGATATCTCCCTCTCCACATCAAGACTCTCTTAGCATACTATCTTCTTAGACTTGTACCTATCTTCACATGCCCAGCTCCATCAATAACAAAGATGCATTGATGCAATGGTAAAAACTCACTGGTATCCTTTCAAGTGTAGTTTCCCTACCCAACAGAAGAAATCTGCGTTTAAGGCATATAGATAGATCTAAGTGACTAAGTCTAACACATGATCACTCAAAAATCACCTCAATACCCCTCATATCACACGGCAGAGAGAAATTTCACAAATTACGCAATCAATCCCTCCCCGAATCCCACCTGAAGAACTTCTAAATTGTCATCCATAACAAAATAAAACTAAAAAATGCAAAAATTATCCGCCATTTCTAATTGCCCATTCAATGTCCTCAATGAAAACTCATTCATAATAATCAAAGCCCATATTCACACTACAAATCTCAACTCATAGCATTAAAAAAAGTATCCCAAAATTTTTTAATTAAATTCAAAATCCGATATTGTCATACCTGGTTTTTTCATTTTTGGTAGCCCCCGCCAATGGCATTGTCATCCTCGATAACTTTAGCAGTCAAATAAGGCCTGGGGAAATCATTGGTATCAAAAGTCTTCTCCTTCATCGTCTTTTCCACATCAGCCTTCTTCAAAAAGGTGCGTTTTATAGGCGGGCGGTTGCGGCGCTGATCGCGGGAGTAGTACTTGATATCATAAACAGTCTCAGGAAGGGATGTGGGGACGATGGCCTTCTCGGGGAGAGTGGCGGGGCATAAGACCCGGTACTCGGTGGCTTTGGGTACCGCCAACCTGTACTCCGGATCGGCGCACGGGCCGGTGACTTCCCACGGCTTCTTTATGTACCGCCGGAGGGTTTGA